ACCAATCTATTCCCCTTGAACTGCCAAACTTCACATCTTCCACCACTTCCTCATAACCTTCACAGCAGCCTGAGTTATGGAAAGCCACATTGAAGGAGATTCATGGCAGAGTCCTTGCCATAGTGGCTGCATGGGATAGCGTTTAGATATTGTAACAAAAGTTGTGATTGGAAATTCTAAGGTGGAAAGGTCAGTCTCCTAAAACAGGAGATATATATATGTTTCCCACAAAATTCAGCTTCTGGTGTGACGTTGCTAATGGGGAAATGTATTTGTAGATATTTTGGCAACTTCTCAAAGTTGCCTCATTTCAATTGCAAATATCTCTCTTTACTTTTCATTGACACTCGTGCAAGGAAAGTATTGTTTCTAGGAGCAGCATTGGGAAGGCACTTGGATACACCCAGCTGTGGGTTGCTTGCTCCTAATATAAAGTAAGTAAAATAAAATTGGTGAAGGACAAATGATTTATAAGTTGAATCAACCTGACAAGGACAGATAGGGCTGGCAAAAAATATGTTATGTCTTAGACATTACAGACCTTACCTGCTTAACTCCAAACCTCAAATACGTAGGAAAACAGAGTGGTGGAGTCTGTTCATGCAAGATATTATTTGAACTAATTCAGACATTTATGCTGTGTTCATTTCTCCCCTCAGGGACCTGAGCTTCATTTTCATTCAGGTTCCTGGAGAGGTGGCCATTATTTGCACTGAAGAAGAAGCAATAGAAGGACTCAGAAGACTGGTAGCCTGGAAGAAGAGGAGCAGGAAGACTTTGCATGTCCAGTGAACTGGAGACCCTACAAGTCTAAGGGACAGAGACCTGGCAAGTCCAAAGGGACTGGAAGCCATTCTTACTGATTTCTTGCTGAAATGTGGCTCTGGAGAGTTTTGTAAAGCTGGAGAGCATTATGTGTTTTTGACTGCACCTCTAACATCTTGCTTCCCTGAGCTGCCATATCAGCACATTATTTTCTATACCTTTTCCTTGCACTTTAGACATTTATTTTGTGTTCCAATCTCCTCCTCCATGTCTACAACACATCCTTAGCCCTCATTTCCACACTCCCACATAATCTACTGGAAGGGTGATTTTTTTGGCATTTGCGAGTGGTGTTAACAAGGATCAGATGCTGCCATTGTTTATGAAAGAACTAGGTTTCCTTTACCAGCTGTGGCACGCACCAGTGAAAAAAAAAAATCCAGCAGTGCGGACTTTACAGTGGAGTTCTTGTATTTAGCAGGTGAAAAGTCAGTACTCTACCTGTAATGAGATTCGGTCATGGAAAACCCCTTGAAGTTGTTTTTAGCAACGAGGCATTAGTCACCCTTGGACAGCTGCTGGCCACTCGATGCTTCTGGCTCGCACCGCGCCGCGTGCAAGGGCTGTTTTGAAGGCTGCTCAGTGTTAACAGTGACTCTTGCTACGCCTCAGGTGCTGAGTTTAAGCACATGGTTCCTGGTTATTTTAGGAAAACATGAGCTCATGTTCCAAGCAGCCTTCCCTCCTGTGAGAAGTTCATTGCAGCCCGTCTCTGTGCGTGGGACTGGGGATGATAATACGCCCGTGTCTTTGGGGAACTAGTGTGCCCAATTGGATTGTCTTCCAATTTTAGGGATATGGGATAGTGAGATGATGAAATGGTGAGATGATGCAGCGCCATGATGAGGCTGTGCTGGGGAGCACCTCCAAAAGTGTCACCAGAAGCCTGATGGCCACCCAAAGTATTTTGTTGCACCCAGTGCCCTTGTGGGTGATGACCTGCCCACAGCTGAGGGTGTGTTTGGAGAATATGAAGAGGTTGGTCAGGGAAATGCAAGTGCAAGGGCTGAGGAAAAGGTGCTTTCTGTGTCAGACATAGATTAGGCAAAGAGAAGACAGCGGAGAGGTGAGATCATGGAGCAAGGTCTGAGGAGTGGAATCTATTAGAGCATCAAAAGTGCTGGATTAAGTCATACCATGTGAAGGCAGCTCCTAAAGAAAGGGAAAATACAGGTGATGAAGGAAGAAGTCAGTTTAATAGACCTGAAATCCAGCTTGCCTGCAGAAATGTGGGCTTGGAGCCTTCTTAGGGAAGAAAAGAAGCTGCTGCCCAGTGGATGCTTACCCATTTCCTTCACCCCTTGGCTTCCCCCAGTCTCCAGCACTGGCTAAGCAGGAAGGAACTTCTGCTCAAGGAGAGTGCTGGATTTTCTGGCTAGTGGAAAAGGGCAGGAAAGGTACAGTGAGGACAGTTCTTGCACAAGATACAGAGAGTGGGGATCCATGTTGATGTGTGACAGGAATTAGTGAAGGGGAACCACAAAGAATGGTCAGCAAGGGTCCTTTCTCTGGGACCAGCCAACGCTTTCCTCTCTCTGCAGCTCAGGCAGAGTTTGCAGAGAAGAAAGTCTGATAATACATTGTCCCCACATTATAAGCAAATATCTTGAAATAATACATACAGCTTTTGCTGATGCCTTTATCATAGAGCAGTCTAAGAGTATACGTAGCTTGGATCTGACAAGCAGATCTGAGAAAACTTTTTATGATAGAGAGTACATTTAAATGTAGCTCTGGAGACGACAAGGAGAATTTGAAATTCAATTTCTTCTATAGATATGACAAAAAAAAAAAGATCAAATGTGAAAGTGTTAGAAAAGATACAGAATTTCATTTAGACATCTTGTGTTGAAGCATCGTGATGTCTTCCTTTGATAACCTTCAGGGCCACAATACTCTTCATTTAAGACACCTAGAAAAAATAAGACATGAAAAGAGCAGAAACCAGGCAGAACAGAGTCTTGTCTGATACAAGGCTTCTTGAGAGAGGAAAAGTGGCTGTTTCAGCTGTTGAATTATTCCTTCAGTTTTACTGCTCAGGTTCTCCTGAGTCGCCCCAACTGGTGTCTAAATCTAACCAAGGGATTCTCTCGGTGCAGGGAAACCCCTGTGCGGGTTGTTTAAGTGAGGCTATGGTTGTATTTAGACCAGGAATGGTTCTCTGTATAGGGCTGGAAGCACGTGGAAAGGCACAATGCGACTGAGAAGTTCCCTCCTCTGTTTCCATTTTGTGGCTTCTGCAATAATCTGTCAAAGGAACCTTATAAACCCCTAAGTAGTGGGTTTTTTTTAAAAAACATGGCTGTTATGGTAATGGTTTAATGCTGCCTCCTTTGTTATGTGTTAATGGTGCCTTCCTCTTAAGTCTACTAATAAAAGAAACTTAAACCTCAATGTGAAAGTCCTTGTAAAGTTACAAATCAAACACATTTGTGCTGTTTTCCCTGATAGGCAAGACACTGGCATGCCTCTGTATGGGGTTTAACATCAGGCCTTAACCGGGGAGCTGCACGCTCACTGCTGTGCATTTGGGGTCACCTGTTCCACATATGGGGCAGAGCTGTAAAGGAGTGTTTTATGCAGTGAAAAGTCTCTTAAACTAGGTGAAAAAGGGAGGAAAGGCGAGGGATGGGGAAAGTTTAGACAAATGAGGAATAGTAGAGATGAATCCGGATAGAGTGATTCATCATCTCTATCACACTTTGATGATCTCCTTAGTAGAACTTTTGAATCAGACTGTGGAACACATTCACAGAGAAGTTTTTTCCTTGTAAGTGAATTCTCCAGACTTATTTGTGGGTCTATGGAAAACTCTCAGTTACACTCTAATTCTATAGCTCTCCATAAATAAATTAGTAAAAGAGGGGTGTGAATAGTTTTCCAAAATTGGCCAGGGTTTCACCATACATACTGCACAGGGCAGCCCCTGTACTCAAAGCATTAGGCTGCTGCTATCTTCATAAGGAGGTGATGAGTGCATGAAGATAACTTCAGAATCTGAGCACTTCTGGAGAAAGAAATCAGTGCTTTGGATGACATCTTCAGAAGGCTCCCAGCTTTATATCCTATGGTATTTATGAGCAGTTACTCATTAGGGAAGTAAATGAAAGAAAAATATAAAGGAGTGGGAAGTGTGGACTGATTTCTGGAGAGAAGTGCAGTGGAAAGGACAGGAAGGCTGGATTTAGACAGACCTAGAAAAAATATAAAAATTAAGACTCACACCTTTCCTATTGCCAAAACACTGTACTTTTATATATAGAGAGAATGAGGGTCCCTGTAACCTCACTGAGTCATGAAGAGGTGATGGTTTGGCTCTCCTAACCTTGTTTTTATTTGTGCAAAAGTGAGGACCATCCATTGTGAACACTGTGGAGGTCAACTCCTACTTAGCCATCGAGTATGCTCAGAAACAATTAAGTCCAAAGATAACTTTTAAAAGACAGTCTCCCACAGTCAGAGATCTCACAGTGGAGATCCTCTGAGCTTCTGAGATCTGCCACATTTCCATGAGCTGCCCACTTAGGAGTAGATAAACTGAGGGTGGTTTCATTGTTCTTATTCATAAGTGGGAGCCCTGTTTTGATCCCTCTTCACTTACAGCATCTCTCAGCTGACCATCAAACCCTGCAGAAAGCTACCAGTATCTTCATGCTGCTTTTCTGAGTGGTGGGGACTGACTCTGGTGTCCAGTCCTTTGAGCATCACGTGGATGTGGCACCCCTGGCGATCTGCTGTTTTAAGCATTTTTGGAGTAATGACGTACGTATTCTTGAGGATTAGCCAGGCAAAGGCAGTGGGCCACTGTCTTGAGGGCAAAATCCAACCCACCAGTCCTCATTCCTCATGTGAGCCATGGTGGTGAAGCCTATAGCCTGACCTATTTCTCTCATCAGGGCCTGTGTGGCAGATCTACCTTCCACATACGCTGTGGGTTTCTTAGGGTGGTAGAAGGAAGTAAAAAAATTTCCAGGCAGATAATGAAAAGTAAGAAAATGCTTTTTTTTTTTTTTTTTTTCATGGTGGGAGAAAGGCAGAAAAATTCATCTTAATGGACCTCAGATGGATCTTTGTTTTGGTTGCCACGGGTGCCAAGATGGAGGCTGACTCCTGCAAATGCCCATCTGGTTTCCACCACAGGGCACAGCATGGCTGATGGGTTTCCACCAGGAGGGTTAGTTTCTGCTAAGGCAAATATTTTTCATTGGAACACTTCTGGCTAACTTTTGGTGTGAACATGAAGTGCTCTGACGGCAATTCTATGGTTACCTCATCCATTAAAAAGCACAGGGGCTGTGAAAGGGATGGAAGGGGTATAAAAGCACAGCTCTGGCCTCTCTACGGTGATGCTGAATGTGGGCTGCCCTGTCTGCACCTCTGGCCACCCCAAAAGCTTGCCGTGGTGAAAGCCTTGGGGCCTCTTGCAAGCAGCATGGCTCTGGGTCTGAACAGCCAGGTCTCGCTCCCTGTGGGCATGCCAGCTGTATTATGACTTTCAGCTCTATTTTAATCCGATTGATGGAGTGGCCGGAGATGCTGATGGGATTAGAGCTCAGCATGATGACGAAGCAGTCGGGATTTGCCCTTGCACTGATCCTCGCAGTACACCAGTGGGGAATAGCTACTCCTGATTTACGAGCTGTATGAGCCCTGCTTTGACATGGAGCATTTCCTCCAGGACATGGGTCCAACCCAAACACATCTCACAGTCTGCAGGCTGAGCACGGTCTGACTTTCTTTTGATTGCGCCCAGTGTGTTTGTGTGTGGTCTCAGGCACTGTGACATCACTATGTTGGACCCAAAGGCACTACGGGCATTTGGTGGGCGTTTGACCATGCTTCCTATGAGAAGACCACACTCTGAACATATAGTTCCTCTACACTGATCAAAAAACCACCAACATAATTGTTCTTGGGATTGGTGGGCTCAGAGGGGATTACGGGTTTGAGTGTGAGTGAGTGTACCTCATCTGATATTCAATGACAGCAGCAGAGCAAGTGGATTTGCAACAGCTATGAATTATGCTTAAATAGATTTATTTTTTTTTAAAGCTATGTGAAAAGAGAAAGCTTCTCATCACTTTGTTTACAGGAGCCCTCTCTAAATGCCCTCTCTAATGCTGCACTGTTAATAAGGTAAATTGCAAGCGTGACTGCAAGAGTCATCAGCACTGTTGTCTCAAGGATGGAGAGCTCTCCCTCTTGAGAGAGCCTGGGATTTTAAGCCCTGAAAGAGCAGCTTGACACCCTGTGACCTGCCTTGTAATGTTCCTAATCCACCTCTTTATAAATACAGGCTGCTGAGCAGAGGGGGAGTGCAGACGGGGGATCTCACAGCCTCGGGTGCTGCTTGCAGGAAGCGGATGAAGGTGCTCACAAGCTAAGTGGATTAAGCCTGAGTAATGTCAGTTCAAAAATAGGAGCTGCAGCCTGACATAAAGGTCTGGGGAAGTGAGGTTATTTGTTGATGAACCGTGCCAGGCACCAGGAGGATGTGAGGGAGGGTCTGGACTCGCCAACGTTTCCTATGTGGGGTGTGGACACAGTCTGGGAGTGCCCAGGGGATGCTTCTCTTCAGGATGCAGTTCTTCCAGGCTATGAGGTTTCCACGTACTCCTGTGAGATGCAGCTGGCAGAGCAAAACCAAGCAGGCTTCTCCAGCAGAGGCTGGGTGCTCCCCGTCTGTTCCTCGCTCTGCCCTCATTTAAACCCCACCAAACATCTGCGTCGGTTGGGAATTGGTCAGTGTATATGCCTGTCCATATGGGGCACCAAGCCCTCCTGCAGAGCAAGGAGGATTTAAAAATAAGATTTAGAAGTATTATTATTTTTTTTAAAAGGCATTAATAACTAATAATATAAATAAAGTCTCTAATAGAATAAGAGAAAAAGAGGGTGTAAAATTCTAAGTTAAATAATAAGACTTAGGAAGCCTTTCTTATGCCTCCACAGACATTTCCTCATTACTTGATGCAGAGACTGATGCTCTCCAGCACAGGGGCTGGTTTTACCCTGTGTTCTGTGTGTTGGAATAGCATCCCCATGGCTTAGCTAATCACAACAATACCCAAGCCAATGGCAGGTCCTACTCCTCCATTAGATCTGACACTTTCAGACTGCTCCTCTTCCCCTTTGCCTCTATTGTTTTCTTCATATACATCATTGTTAAACCTTTCTTGAACATGCAGTTGTCCTTGTAATCTGAATTGTATGTTGATTTCATGTTTGTTGACATGTTTGCTGAGCAGTTGAATGAGCTTTTGGACAAATATTAAATAAATGGTCACTTTTTAACACAATTTTAATGGTGTCAATCATTTTAAATTTTAAGCTACTAAGAAAGAAGGGTGCACAAATTGAAACACGATGTGCAGGGCAGTGATTCTTTCTAACTCTTAATGCTGTCATGATAATAAGCATATCTTGCTTTCCATATTTTTATTTCCAGATTTGTAAAAGAAGCCCTCGTAATTTTCACATATGGGATCTATGGCACCTACTACCCTCATGTCTGTCTCTCAGCCCCTTTGCTTTTTCTTTTTTTGTCATAATGCAGCAGGAGTTAACAGCTTAGGGGATGGAAACAGGTCTGAAAGTCTCCAGGAAGATAATGCTTGGGAAGACAGGTTTAAACTAAATAAGAAAGCAGATTTCATCGGCCTTCTTGGAAACAAACTGACCAGACTTGTGATCTGTTTCTAAATTTGGCCTTTGCATTTTCCACATGCAGGAAGTGACAAAAACAGTGGCAGTAATCCTTGGTGAGTTTGGACACGCACATCAAGGGCCAAAAGCCTTTGTCTGCTATAGGCCCAAGGTAAGGTGGGTTTTGTAAATATGACTCATGATGAGTTTAAGACAACAAGTATGGGAAACACAGCAGAAGGTCACGCTTCTTTCCTCACAGTTTTGGAAACCGAAGACTTTTGCAACAGATTTGAATGTGCTGCAGGGGCACAAATATAAACACAGCTTTTATACTGATTTTCTGTTTCCTAAAATGCACCATTTCTGGATGATGTTAAAAGAGCCTGAATAGAAAAAAAAAAAAAAAAAAAAGCTAACCTAAAGCGTTGAGCACATTAGTTTGTGGCAAGCCAAGTTCCAACTGATGAAAATAAAAGATGCTGTGAACATATGATAAAACTCCTACAGTCGATTTGGTCCTGCCCCAACAATGACAAATTTACTCCTGGGTGAGTCAGGCTAAATGTATCATACATTTAAGTACCCGCCTGCCAATGCAGAACCCACCTGTTTCTCAGACTTTCACATGCTCATTTTGTGTTTGAACTAGCACAGTCATGCATGAGCTGATTTGTTCCGAAGCTTTGCCTCCCTGTGGATGCTATCATAGAATCACAGAATCGTAGAAGCTTTTTAGTTGGAAGGGACCTTTAAAGGTTATCTAGTCCAACACCCTTGCAATGAACAGGGGGACATCCACAGTTCAGTCAGGTGCTCAGAACCCCATCCATCCTGCTATTGAATGATTCCAGGAGCAGAGTATCCACCACCTCTCTGGGCAACCTGTGCCAGTGCCTCACCACCTGTAAATACTTTTTTCCTTACATCCAATGTATAAATCTCCCCTCTTGTCGATTGAAACCATTTTCCCTTATCCTATCACAACAGACCCTGCTAAAAAGTCTGTCACATTGCTCTTACAGCCCCCTTTTAGATACTGAAAGGTTGCTCTCAGGTCTCCCTGGAGCCTTCTCTTCTCCAGGCTGAACAGCCCCAGCTCTCTCAGACTGTCCTCATAGGAGAGGTGTTCCATCCCTGGGATCACTTTTATGGCCCTCCTCTGGACACACTCCAACAGGTTCCTTTCTCTCCTGTACTGAGGACTCCATGTCTGGATGCAGTGCTCCAGGTGAGGTCTCACCAGCACAGAGCAGAGGGACAGGATCACCTCCCTTGCCCTGCTGGCCACACTGCTTTTATGTCCAGCTTTCCACCCACCAGTGCCCCCAGGTGCTCCATACTTCCCAAATAACACAGGACAGTTTGCTCAGGATGAACTCCACCTACTCCTACATCAGCACCTGAGAGCCAAGTATCCCATCAAGCCATCTGTGTTCCTCCTATAATCAACTGAGAAAAAGAGGTAGGTAGGGATATCTGAAAAGAATAGATTCCATTTTAAGCTACTCATCTGCAATAGATGGGATAACTCCATAGGTGCTTACTTCTATCCAGTGAAGACAGGCAAAGGAGCCCTGGTGATGAGCTGAGATGGGTGACCTGACTTCTAGATGGCTATTAAATTAAATTAAACTAAGCGGATCCCGGCTTCAGAGGATCCTCCTTAACATGCAGGTCTTTTTCACACACTTTTTCAAAACTTTAGGCACGCTCATAAAAAATATTTGAAAAATCTATTATCAAATAAAATCCTCCTGAGTGTTTTGAAGCCCAAGAAGAGCAGATTTGTACTGGTGTGGGAAAGAAGCCCTTACCACCAGAAATTGTTTAGCTGGGAGGAAGCTTTTCAAAATGTAAGATTTTTAGCCTATATTTTTAACATAGCTTCTTGATTTTCCCTGGAACTCATGCTCATAAATCCTCCAGAAGTGTTTAAAAAGTCCCTGTCCAAAATGAAAAGAAGTATTAAATTTATGAAACTGGGAAAGCAAAACCCGTATTTTGAAGAGAATTCCAGGTCATAGGACTTGTGAAGTCTATCCCAGGATTCAAAAATCTGTGTAGATGAAAATGCCCAAAACCATAAATAATGTTACATGGCCATTCTTTTGCTACAGCATCTTTGGAAATGTACCCCTTAGTTTCTACCCTTTCTTGTTTCCTTTAATTCAAAACAGCAAACACATGAAGCGGCTGTAATTTCTAATTGTCTGGTGGTTGCTATGATTAAAACATCCCATTTGCAAATACGTGTGTTAGAGTGTAGGTTTTGCATGGATTACTGTCTAAAATGAATGTTTTTGATCTTGGGTGATTTTGCCACCAGCTTCCTCAGAAAACCTCTGTGTTTTGTTTTTCCAAGGAAGAGTCTGGGAAGGTCCAAAGAAGGGCAACAAGGTTGGTGAAAGGCTTGGAGAATATGTCCTATGAGGGGAGACTAAAGGAACTGGGATTATTTAGTCTGGGAAGAGGAGGCTGAGGGGAGACCTTATTGCTCTCTTCTTATATCTGAAAGGTGCTTACAGCGAGAGCGGGGTTGGTCTCTTCTCACTGGTGACAGATGACAGGACGAGGGGAAATGACCTAAAGTTGCCCCAGGGTAAGTTTAGATTGGATGTCAGGAAAAACTTCTTTACAGAAAAGGTTGTTGAAAAGCACTGGAATAGACTCCCCAGGGAGGTGGTTGAGTCACCAACCCTGGATGTGTTTAAAACAGCTTGGATGTGGAGCTCGGGGACATGGAGGGTTGTTAGAGTTAGGGTAGAATGGTCAGGTTGTGGTTGGACTTGATGATCTTTAAGGTCTTTTCCAAATCAAGTAATTCTATGATTCTAAGTCCAGGGACAGAAAAGCATAGCAAGTGTGAAAAATGACGTTCCATTCCATTGTGCAAAACTCCCATAAATTAATAAAGAATACAAAAAGGCAGCTGTGAGGAAAGGCTTTTTTCTCTAGGATTGGCAAAAGGAGACTATTACTATATCCTCCAGTCACCTCTGTTGCAAGATGCTGTATTCTGAATGCTAAGCCAGTGCTCTCAAACAGATTAACTAAGGGACAGCCACAGCCTTGCATGGGGACCTTGGCTGGGCTGGTGAAGGCAATGCACTGCATTACCCTGTGTCATGTCCACATTGGAAAAATAGTGACAGCTGACACAGAGGAGATCTCACAAGCAAAGCTTTCCTTCCTGGGTGCGTGGTGTTCAGCAGTATTTCAGCTCAAAATAAGAATTTGGGACCCAGAGCATTTTGTTGAAGCCCAGTTCTTTCAACCCCTCTGGTTGCACTGCAGTGAACTCTACAACCTGCAGGATTGCACCCAGGCAGCCTGGCTGTCTCAAGCAAGCAGATTAGCATTGACTCATTAGTCTAACGGCTATCGACTTTAATTTCCTATGAACTCCTCTCAAAGCTCGTTTAAAACCCAAGAGCTAAAGGGCAGATGAGTGCAGAAGTGAGGGGAGGAGTATCGTATTCTACCACCAGATTTGAGAAAAGTCCTATTCATAGCCCTTCTGGGACCATACTGGCTTCTGAAACATATATTCTCCTGAGAGCTGGGGCAAGAATGCAAGTCAGAATGACATGGCTTTTGTGAAATGTGCATTTGCAAGGAGCAGAGGGAAAGAAAACTGTATAACCACATATAAGTAGATCAAATACCAAGGCAAGAAAGCATGAGTAGAATTTGTTTTCACTGCTAAATTTTATTTTTTTTTAAATGTGATTGGTTCTTTGTTTTTGTTTTTCAGAGAGTAGAGGACATTTCAGGATAGGGAGTAATTTTGGATGATCAAAATAAGCAGGTCTTGCATCAGAATAGTGATACTGGTAGCTCTGGTCTGGTTGGTTTGTTTTTTCTGTTGTGCATTTTACACAGCACAGAATTGCAATATCTCACGATGAAAGGACTCTGAAGCTCCTGTTGAGTGAAACCAGGCAAAAATTCTCCTTTTATATAAGAAAATTTTACCTGAGTAAGAGCTCAACATAGACTGTAAAATCTGGTCATGAAATCCTCAGCTAAGCTGATAAGAAACCAAAATCCTTCAGACAGACAAGTAAAATAGGATTTCCAACCTGCATGGTTATTCACATCCTTCTAATGAGCTCTGGCATCTGCGGCAGAATTGCTAGGGGAGTATTGATCTGCAAAATTTGGTGTGTAACAGTGGTTTGCAGACACACAGAGAATACCAAACCCTCCTCCCCTGCAGTTTCCTGCTGGACTGATCATTTGGGGAATGCTGGAAATGCAAGTGGCATTTCCATTTCTCCTCTTAATCCATCAAATGTCCAGTTGATGGTCCATTCAATAGTGTGACTAGTTTTCTTTTTTCCTTTTCCAAAGGAAGGTTACTGAATGTTGATGTTGGATGCAGTCAGATGTTATAATGTGAAGGGTTAATGAAGGTAACTGCTGAAAACCCAGTTCTTGCTACTGAGTAAAATGAAAGCCATTTATTTTCAGGCAGTTTTAAAAACAGCCAGCACTGTTAAATATATTTGTGTTTCAATGCACATTTTTCCTGCTCTTTCAAACCTTGCTGCCTCCTTCAATGAGAATGTTCTGTAGGCAGTACTGCAGAGCAATTTTCCAAGAAGAATGGCCAAGTGCCATTCTTCACTAGCACCACCTCATCCA